AAGAATGCTTCTCCATTTTCTCTTGTGGAATGCCTCCAGCTTCCTCTCTCATTCAGTGGTAGAGGAGCACTGAATTGTCTGGTGAGTCTTCTGCTTTCTTTGATTGTCTCCATGGTCAGCGCATTCAAAGGTCCTTGTCCTTTTGTTATTGTATTCTTAATACAGAAGACAGAGTGTGATCTCTTGGGGACTCTGAGACCAAGATGTCTGGCCTTACAGATGACACAGTTCTTGAGTGGATCAAAGACTTCTGCTACCACTCCTTCCAGTGTTGTTTGTGGTCCTTCTTCTCTGGCTCTCTTGGATCTGTTGTTGTTCAATTTGGCAAGTTCATAAGCTCTCTTCTGCTGGGAGTTTCTATTCTGGCTTTGGCAACCCATTCCTCCATTTTGTGTTGTTGCTGCTGCTGCTGTTGGTGGCTCCATGATGCTGTCTTCTGCTGCTGCTGTTGGTGGCTTTTGTTGGTGGCTTTTTCGCCAAGATAATGACTTTTCGAGGGCTTCGAGAGCGGCAGCATGTCATTGTCGACGATCCACGGAGGAATCCTTCTTTCGGTTTTCGCGAAAGAAGAAAAGCCGTAATTTGGTAGCACACTAGTACGTAAACTGTTTAAACTGCATGTTAATTGATTTAAATCTTGTTCGTTAAATATTGCTGACATATACATTGTTCTTCGGTCCTCTCAGCCAATCAGATCACTGCCTTCCACCCCTTTCGCCCTTGGACCGGTGTGAAAACACGACACACGACAGAGTTAAAATGAATTGATCAACATTGAAATGGTTGAGAGAGATTTAATACTATAGTTTCTACAGTCAGAGCAACCAGAGCGTCATTTTCTCAAACCGAGATCTTTGGATCTTTCATTGTCTGGAAGCAAGTGTTGCATCGCGTTTCCCACAACATCATCAGGAGTTGCCGTGGAGGTTGAACATAGATAGATAGTGAAAGTAGTAGCACCATGTCGTCCAAGGCGTCTGCTCCCCCCAGTGAAACCAACAAGGGCAGTGACAATGACAAGAACGATGGAGGTGAATCCGAGATGAGCCCCAAACCAGATCGAGTTAAATTCGACCAGAAAGACGAAGAAACAGCCAAAGAAGGAGAAGAAGAAGTGGCAGCTCCAACGCAACGGATTGATGGCAGCCAGCAGAGTCTCCAGGGAAACTCTGTGGGAGATGTGACGGCATCTGTCGCGTCTTCGTGGGCTCCTCAACAGCGTCGCACTACTGCCATGTCGGATGCCGATAGTTCCACATTACCATCAACCTATCATCGGACAACTCGTCGCTCTCCCAAAAAGAAAAAGGTTCGCAGCAAAAAGCATAAAGATGAATCTCTCGCTGGACGCTTGGGAAACTCGGCTTTGGCCAGCACGCTGGAGATTCTCAAACTGGCAGGAGGAGCCACTCTCCACACCACGGGTACCATTTTGTCTCCTTCCCTGGAACTCACCAAAAATGTCATTCTCCCCAATTTGCTCGGTTCTGCTGCCGACTATCTGAGTCAAGTCAGTCCGCAACGGCTCAAGGATTGGTTCCGCATTTTCAGTGCCAGTATTCACCATCTCATTGCCGTCATTGTCAGCACCGAACGAGGGTCGATATTTCGTCACAAGGTAGTCCGCGTGGGAGGAAATGTGGTAGATGTGGCTTGCAGCGATACCTCGCGACAGGTACTCATGGATGGGATGGCTGCCTTTATCAAACTCAACGAAGCCATGCAGTAAGTGGATCCGATCGATCAGCTTCAAGATAATACATTATTGAGTCTCCGCACTTGACCTCATCGATTTCTATTCTTTTGTGTGTTGCAATAGTACACCCGAGTTCAAGTCTTTCCTGGCACAAATAAGTGTCCTGGGTTGTCGTGTAGTGGATGCCGCGGCCAATGGAGAGAATAAAAAGTTGATACACAATGTCGTCGATTTGGCATGGTCGGGAGTCGAATTGGTCAATGATCCCGCCACTACGGTGGCGTACGCCGAAGTCGCCGCATACCTTTGCTACGCCTTGGAAATGGAAGACACAGCAATCCACGCCATTGCCAAAGAGCGAAGCGAAATCAATCGAACGGCTGCCGAAAAACGACGAGAGAGGGATCACTTCCAAGCGGCAACCTACCAAGACATGTACTTGTTGAATGACCCCAATGCCACAGTCGAAGAGGTTATTCTAAGTGCCTTTGGTGTCATTCAAAAATCAGTCGAAGAGGCCAAAATAAGAAATGCAGCGTTGGGTGGTGGTGATGAGGAAAACGATGATGAAGGTATTCCTGGTAGTGTAGTGCTCGGATCGGATGATGACGGTGAGGATGAGGAAGGATCCAGAGCGGTGACGCCACCACCCCTTCCCGCCACACCGGAAAACACTGCTGTGAGCAATGACGACAAATTGGCCTTTGAAAAACCAGAAGGAATCGGTGGTGATCATAACGTTGACGTGAGGCTCTTACGAGAAAAGATCACCAAGTATTCGGAAGGTCAGAGACTGGAACAGCTCCGAGCACGCACAGCTGCCGAACAAAAGCCAATGTTGACATCCAATCGACAGGCGTCTGCCATCACCGATGATTTTGAAGACGATGGAAGAAAAGATATTGAGGACCTTTCCTCATTGGTAAAAGAGGAAAACACCCATTCGCAGAGCAAGCCGACGCTGCACTTTGAGAACAACCAGGACGGCGACCCTGCAAGCAACAACGTTGGCAGCGAAGAGAAACCCACGGAGGAATCGAGTCCAAAGTTGCCGCTTAGCGAGGGCCGCCCCGACCGTTCCATGCCTTTGGAAGGTGAAACCCCCGCCGCTCATTTCTATCGTGTGCTGGATCAAGTATTGACCGATCGACGAGAGATTGCCATGAAATCTGTCATCCCAAAGGCGGACTTGGACGATGCTTCCGAGGACGACGTGCTGGATTCTGGTAGAATGAAGCGACGGTTATCCAATGTTCGTGCGGAACGGCGAACATCCACTGCCCCCACGTTCATTCATCCAAAGGTCGCAGAGTTCATCAACGAGAACGAAAAGTTCGTTTGTGCAGCCTTTTTCGCTGTCATCTTCCTGGTGCTAGTGTTTTGCATGTTTGGCTTTTACGGTATGTACGCGTTTGTCTTCCCACCAACCCCCAATCATATGGCAGCTCCCGTCAGCCATGGATTCGTTGGTGGCCCCGGTGAGCTTCATGTGCCCATTGTCATACAAGAGGGCGACCTTCGATCGAGGCGCGGTGGCAAGGATGAGTATGTGATACGAGTGGTGCGAGAGGTCGTTCATGTGAACAGCAATGGAGAAGTACTGCAACATGTCCGGAAGCATGATGATGAATTATAATGAAATAGTGAAGCATGAAGGGTTTCAACCATGCAATCTAGCTAGCTTTGTGGTCGGCACTGGTTTTGAAAGTTGTTCCCATTGGTTCGGTCTAGTTTCTAACAGTAGGGACGGGTCGAACCAAATGCAGCTTTTCTGATCCTGACCAAGATCATAGGTTACCGGTAGGGGCGTGTTGGTTCGAGGAACACTACAGCAGCTACCAGTGCGTGTATTTGTGAAGTTGTTGAAACTGATGACGAAGGGATAAATCGCATAGTCTACTAAGCTAGCCCTAGCTAGTTATCATTGGTTCAGTTACAATACATGCAAAAGGCGCATCTCGGGGCGCTCTGGCACAGGCAGCGTCTACCACGAAAACGATTCTGAGTGCAGGTCCAACCCGTATCTCTCCGAAGTCTTCTTCAGTTGTTTCTCAATTTTGTTGGCACCGCCACAGTACAAAATACCCCAGCTCTGGAGGATTTCAGGTGCTAAGTTCTGTATGAAATTTTCTGCTTCCTCCGCCAAGAGATCTTCGTCCCATGGCTGGAACGCCAATGATGCGTCTTCCATCATGTTGCCCACAAACTCGCTCGCAGATGAGCGACGCCTGCGGTTCTGGCGAAATGATACTGGCAGGTTTCGATGGGATGTTCGAAACGACCTGCTGCTGCGTATCATCCCAGTGCTGATTCCGGCCGTCTGACCGTCCACCGTCAACCGGAATCTAGCCTCCACTCATCTACAGATATCCAGAGACAACAAAGTAGCGTTTCCTCATAATCTTATAACATCATTCGTAATACATCTCTCGCTACCTTTAGTCTCTTCAACAGATGTTATAAGATCCTTCTATACAACCGATAACAATACAACCACCGATCCGCTACACACTGATCGACGACGACGCACTCTATCGACGAAACGCACCTCCTATCCTCGAAACCTCTTATCCTGCGAAACGAACCTCTATCCCGAACGAACCTCTATCCTCGAACGAAACTCTATCCTCGAACGAACTCTATCCTCGCGAACGACCTATCCCACAACCTCTAATCCTGAACGAAACCCCGCAAACCTCTATCGATCGTAACCAGCAGCACCTCTATCGAACGAACGGCACCTCTATCGACGAACGCACCTCTATCGACGAACGAACCTCTATCTTCGAAACGAACCTCTATCCTCAAACGAACCTCTATCCTCGAACGGAACGACACTGATACCGAACTGATACCGCTACCAGCTGAGACCGCTACTAAGCCAACAAAAACACAAGCACCAACTACAATACCACTACCACACATACACCGACCTGACACCAAGGCCTTAAACGTCCGACAAAGGGAACTAATTATACCCGTGTCGCCCAACTTCAAATACAATTCTACCCTCTCCTACTATGACCACCCACTACACCAACTGATGCAATGCCACACCCCATCCTCACACCAATCATTGGCAAACCTGACCAGAGGAAACTATCCCTCCTCATCTCTCAGGTTCTTGCAAAAACCAGAGCTATCTCCAGTGCGGACGGTGATGGCAGATTAGGCCACGCCTACATCATCCTTGGCCAGGCAGCATACACGGCAGCATCCCAAGGCAACATTGCATTCGTCGTCCCGATCAAACCATACAAACCCGTACATGCTGCCAACGCCACCCAAGCACCCATGTACCGCCACGACCAAAACTACAAAAATGAACTGGATGCATGGAAATTATACCAAAAAACAGAGGCCCAGATCCTCCAGCATTTTTGGACGCCGTTAACGAAACTTACACAAAGGCCCTCAAAAATCGCATGTGGGGATACGGCAACAACAGCCAGTCTT